CGGCCCGGCCCGGCCGGCCGGCGCTCCCGCGCGGGCCCCGCGGGCGGCACGCGCCGGGCCCTTCCGCGGGCCGCGCTCGCTCCGCGCCGGGGCGGCCCCGCCCCCGCGCCCGCTGATTGGCTGCGCCCCCGGCGGCGGCGCGCGGGGCTCCTGTCTCGCGCCACTTTCGGGAGCCTTTGGCGCGAGCGCCATGGCGGAGAGCGGCGCGCGGGGCCGGGACGGTGAGACCCGGGGGCGGCGGGGCGGCCGGGGCCCCCGTCCTTGTCCTCCTGCCTGTCCCCGTCCCTCGCAGGCGCCGGCGCTTCGCTGTCAGGCGAGGGGCGACCGGGCAGCGGCGAGGGGGAAAACGGGGCGCGGGAGCGCGCCTGCGCGGCGGGCGGGCGGTCGGTCGGTCCGGCGGTCGCGGCGGGGGCGCCCGCGCCGCGCGAGGGTCCCGCGTCCCTCTGGGCGGCCCGGCGGGGCCGCGCCCGCGCTGCCCCAGCGGCGGGACCCTCTCCGCGGGGCGCAGAACGGGGGGCTCCGCCCGCGCCGGCCCCGGAGCCCCGCAGGCTGGGGCGGCTGTCCCCGGTGGTGGCACTCCCAGCCCACGGGCAGCGGCGGGCGCGGGTGGTCCCGGCTGGGGCTGGACACGCGCTTGTCCCGGAGGAGCGCGTTGCGTGAGGCGCTGCCGTACAGTAAAGGCGGAGGACTGGCAGAAGATAAACGCGCCCAAAGCGGTGCGCCTTGGCATGGGGCAGCAGCGGTGCAAATGCCCCTTTTACCCCAGCCCTTAGCGACACAACCCCGGCCTTCCTTCAGCTGCGCTGCCGGGGTGCAGCTCTATTCGCAAGTTGATGTCCTGCTGCCACCAGGAGGGGACTGCCCTGCTCCTCTGGCCGCCTGGCCAGCCGTGGGTCTCCTCTGCCTGCGCGGGGTGTGCAGCTCCTGCCACTGAGCCCGCAGCCTTGTCCCTGGGCTGTTTGTTTGCAGTTAGAACTTGGATGGAGTCCGTTTGTTCCCTCTGGTCAGATAAGTGTTCCTCCCCCAAATTAAGAGAAAGAAAAAAACGTCTGGAGAAGTAGAAAGCATCTTGCTGGGGAGAGCATTTGGAAGGGAAGGAAGTGGAAGAGGAAATGGGGTGTCAGCTGTTAACAGATTTCTAGTTTGTCTCAATCTGGTCACACTCAAGCCTTGTGGAAACTGCCTAAAAACATCACTGCTTTGTAGCAGTGTAGGCCTTCTCTAAGTCTGGTACTCCTGAGTTGTCATGGAGACATGCAAAATAAAAGGAGCTGGAAATTCCCAAGAAGGGGTAGGGGGAAGATCTCTTACAGGGAAAGGCTGATGAGATTTGAGAGGTGCTTAGGAATTCTAGGTGGTAGCTTCATGCTGAACGTGAGCTGGTATGAGAGGGCTGTTTGAGCTCCCTGTCAGGCCATGCCCTCAGTATCATTCCAGAATTGGCTTAGGAAGAGCCATCTGTGACTGTGCTTTTAGCCAAGGAGGTTTTGGTTTTAAGCATAACTGCAGTCATCTATTAAAGCATTACCAAAGCTAACAGCTCACTGTTAAACTAATTTCTCTTGTTTTTTATTAATTACAGCTATGAGTGAGTCTGGAAGTTTTGCAGCATCACGTTCTAGACGTGAGAGGAAAAATAGAAGAGGTCAGCAAGAAGCACTTGAACGTCTGAAAAAAGCCAAAGCTGGGGAAAAATTAAAATATGAGGTGAAAATTCCTCATCTTTTCTTCTTAATTAAAAGTCAATGTGAGCTGAGAAACTTAATCACCATTTATAGATATGTAAAAGTTAGAGGAAACAAAATGAGCCTTTTGGATCAGCTTTTATGTTTTTAATAGTGTATGTTTTTCTGAGTGTAGCTGTAGTTT